CTTTAGTGACCTGGATACAAGTACATATTCCTGGGAACAAAAGACTGAACCTTGCAGTATTTCCACAGTGATAATAATTAGCTTCCCCTGTAAATAAAAGTAGCCACGTGGCCTAAGTCCAGTCACATGGAAAAGGTCAGGCAGCTCCTGGAATGCCAGCAGCCATCTCTGTCTCTGTCTCCTGTTGTGGCAGAGTTGGTCACCTCCGCTGTCATGTTGCCCGGGGGTCGGCAGTAGACACTGTCACACAGAAGGCACTCTGGTGGCTTCCATCTATCTCTGCAGCACGGTTTGTTCCAGTACTTACAGTGCATTTCAGTGAGTCACCTGTTCCACTGCACGTGCCCATCAGATGACATCCAGGCTATCAGTAGATCACCACCCTGACTGGGTTTGGCCTGGCACGAACTCTGGACAATGGATCAGCAAACAGAAGTCTGTTTGTGGCACACTTCTGGGAGGAGGGCCCGGGATTGGCTATTTTTCTGGTTCTATCTTTTTCCTCATTTTTTTCATCCACAACTTCTACTTCTGTGCTGTCCTTCAGGGCCTCTAAAATGAAATTAAGGTTTATAGTGAGAGTCTGCACACGGTGAAATCCAGCAATCAGGGAAATAGGCAAGAAACCTTGCTCATCCATCTTTCTCTGAAGAAAGAAGTCATGTTCTAAGTTTTCTATACTGAAGTAATGATGTTCAACTTGATGTTTAATATACTCCTTAAGCAATGCTTCTTCCACAGGATACTCCTGTACACCCGTATCATCGTAATAGTAATCCATCATAATGGTGTTAATTTCTATTTGAAATGGTTGGTCTGTCTTTTCACCGTGAAATCATACAAATAATCAAAGTTCTGCCTCCTCCTCTTCCCTGTCCTCGTCCTCTCCCTCAGCCTTTTAAGGAACTTTGGACATTACCCTCCTTACTCCTTACACTGGACACTTTGTCCTGATCATCTCTTTTTTGTCTGTCTTGCCTCCAACTTCATGTGTCATTTCTCCTGTTATGAGGTGATTTATTTGCTTCAGGTTAACACTGAAAACTGTTGCGGATCCAGGTCTCTCCTGACTCTCTGGTCTTAGAATCATCTAAGTGCAGTGGTACCTACTGTGTTTATTAGCTCTCTTTCGTTGACTACCTGACTGGGCCTCATCCTTGCTGACATTTTCAACAGGATTGTCTAATTTTGTTTCCTGGTTTTCTTTGCTCTCACTGTTATTCCTCTTTTCAACCTTCTATTCTCCTTCTCCTTCTCCTTCTCCTTCTCCTTCTCCTTCTCCTTCTTCTTCTTCTTTCCCCCTAATTTGTGGCTCCTTATTTCCTTGGTTGATGACACTCTGAGACTGCAAAAGGTTTTCTTCCGGTGCTTACTAACCCTCCTGGTGTTGGCCAATTTGCCATATCGCTGAAATCACTGGCCTTATTGGATTTCCTTGTCTTCAGTTCCTGCTTTTATAATTTTAGGGGAACGGGACTTGGTGGCTGATTCTACAATGGATTTAAGCATTTATTATAGCTATTAAATTAGTTATTACTCCTTAAGGCTTTCTGAAAGTGGTAGAGGAACACAAGAGGGTTATAGTGTTTTAATAGAAATATGGTCCATATGAAATAGGCTACTATTTAGATAGACTTCAGGACTTAGTCAAAGTGGTTCTTATCAGAAGCCCAAGTTTTGAATTGGGAAACACATTTGTTAGAAGCATGATCCAGGATGCTCCAGTGCTGAAATCAGAAGCAGGGCAAGAAGTTCATAAAAAAAAAAATCCATTTATAAGCTCAGGGAGTCTTCTTTTCATAAGCAGCAACTTCTCCTGAATTGGTTCAGACTCACAGCTCCGACTGCAGAGATGGTTCTGCTCTAGAAAGCTCCGACATGATTCCTGTCTATTAATACCTTGGAGGGTACAGGACTGTATCTTTAATGCAGCTCTTGGTCTAATCTTCCTGCCAAAAAGGAGTCTACAGAACTCCAGGAGCCAAAATTGTTGCTGTAATATGAGAAGGCGACAAGGAAAATGCCTTTTGCTATCAAGCCACGTGTGCTGGGCTAAGAAACAGATTAAATGTCTTTCTGTGTGCGGTGAAGTGATAGGTACCCAATTTCTTCCTCTAAGAGCTTACAATGTGAGAAGAGCATGGTGGGTGTGTGTGGGGGGGCTGCAGTGTGCACGGTCATGGAATAAATGCTTCCTTGGAATAGAGGCTTAGTCAGTAAATAAAAAGCTATATCCAGAGGCTAAAAGTCTGATTTGAAATAAGATCAGGTATAATTTAAAATAAACTCAGGTTGATTAGTTTATAGTTTAAAGCCAGTGGTTAAACTGAACCAAAATCACAAACTAAACCTCATGAGGCTATTTTGTTTGGATCTGAGGAAAGAGTTGCTTCCTGTAAATGTTGTTTTTGTTGTTGTTTTGTTGTTGTTGTTTTGGTACAAGGGATTGAACTCAGGGACACTCGACCACTGAGCCACAATCTCCAGCCCTATTTTCTATTTTGTTTAGAGACAGGGCCTCACTGACTTGCTTAGCACCTTGTTTATGCTGAGGTTGGCTTTTTGAACTCCAGATCCTCCTGCCTCAGCCTCCAGAGTCGCTGGGATTACAGGCATGTGTCATCTTGCCTAACTCTGTACATTGTTCTTAAATCTACGTCTTTGGGGCTTCCTAGGAAACTTTTAAAATATTCTCAGGCTCACCTCCACATTTTCTGAATCAGAGGTGAGGGGATGGAGCCCAGGAATCCTGGATCTGGGAAACGCTGATGGAATTTGGAGAAAGGATTCAGTCTCAAGGCCAGACAGACCTGGTTTTGAATCTTGCCAGGGTGCTCTCAAGCAAGTTTCTTCACTCTCCCGAGCTCCAGAACCTCAAAGAAGAGTAACTTCGGGATGGATCAGTGAGATAGCACATGGTAGGGGCCTTAAAGTTTGGCACAGAGGCTGGACACTATTTGGCATATGGTAATTATGGGATGCTCTCCCCTTCCTAACTCTAGAAAATGATGCCCCTGAAACTGCTGCCCTGGGGATTTCTACGGACACGCAGGTAGCAAATTAAACCTGAATCAGATCACCAGATAGTAAGTCATGAAGTTGGCTAACTCACAGAGAGGAAGTTTTGGCATCCTGGTTATTACTGATAACCTCAGGTTGAATCTGATTAAATGCGTGAACATCCAATCAAAGGCCAGCAACAGTTGATGGAACCAGTTGAACAGGCCCGTGCAGGCCTTGGGGCTTCTGATTCACTGAGGGCTGGCTGTAGCCCTGGGTCCTGCATGTGATAATCATGCTTTGTGCTTAAAGGCCCTCGATATCTTTAGGGTTCACTTGATTGTCACCATAATTGGGGGATGGCCTGCTGGTGCTGTCCCCAGACAACACTTTGCTGGCCTGGCATTGCTCTTCCATCTTCTGAACGTACAACTAGAGGGAATTTGGGGTCATTTGAAGCCACAGGATAAACATGACTGAGATTCATGGAATGATGATTTTACTTAAAGCCAAGAAGGAATGGCATTGTACTTACACTGATAGTAGCTGGTGTTTATGAAGTGTTTGCTTCGTGCCTGGCACTTTTATTCTAATAACAATCTTATAAGAAAATACTGGGAGGTAAGAACTATTATCATCCTTTGTTGTTGTTGTTTTTGGTGCTGAAAATCTACTCAGGACCTTGCACGTGCTAGGCAAGATAATTCTTGCTTTACAGATGAAGAAAAACCAAGAAGCAGAGAGGTTAAGCATCTAGGCAAAGAAGAATTAGAGAGGAATGAGAAATATGAGGAAAGAGGGCATTCCTGACAGAAGGTATAGCATGTGCAAAAGCCCTGAGAAGGAAATAAACCCAGCTTGAGGAAAAGAAAGGCTGGTCTACAGAGAAAGAAACCAAGGGCTGCCAGATCCTGCAGTTTCTTAGAGGCCACAGTGATTTGTGCTATTGTGAGAAGAACAATGGGAAGTAATTTAATTTTTGCTTTTAATTTAACTTTTATTATGGGATTTAAAAAGTATGCTCCCAAATAGAACATGAGGTAACAGGCCTTTATGTACATCACCTAGTGTCAACCACTGCAAGAGAGAAGATGACAGGAGGAGCTTTGTTACCATGACAAAGAAACCCTGCGGCTTCTGAGAAGGAGGGAGCATAGTGGAGCCACTGCAGTGACCAGGCAAGAATGAGCACCAAGGTAAGGTGCAGATGGAGGGAGGGTAGCAGGAAGATTCCCGAGAAATGGATGTGAAGGGGTCTTGGTTTGGCTTTTCTCAGAAGGGACAAGGATTGGAGTGCAAGCTTTTTAGTTGAGAAGCCAGAAAATATTGACCAGGAAGCAGGGAAGAGAGACCGGGAGAGAAGAAGGCAGGTAGCCAGGACCTTCTCAAGTCAGCTTGGGCAGAACAAGCTACATCCTTTGCAGGGCCCAATACAGAGTGAAAATTGGAGGCCTCTTGCTCATAAGTTGTTAAGAATTTCAAAGTGCTGGTGGCAGAGCACACAGCCCAGCACAGGGCCCTTCTAAGCATGGGGATCCTGCAGCTGGCTGCCCATGTAGCATGTCCGTGAAGTGGGTCCTGCTATTGGGCCATTGGAGTTTAAATTTACCGGGAGACTTGGTCACACAGTGTGGAACATACATCTCAGAGGAATGAGGGAGTTTTGCATCATTGCTCAAAGGCTGCCCCTGGAGAGTTCCAGCTTCCTGACACTTCCAGATCTCCTTCTGAGGAAAGATGGTTTCCCAGGATTCCTTTTGTAAATTCTAGAAGTTGGCATGTGTCAGTGTCCCTACGTGGGCCAGGCACCAAGAACCTCTGCTATCAGGGCTGAGGACAAGGGAGGTGACTTTAAGGCTTCTGAGTTTTGTACTGGAAGGTTGGAGGGTCCTTGTTGAGACAAGGGGTGTGGGAAGGGGAGCAGGTAGGGGTATGGGGGGAGGAAGCATCTAAGTGTGGCTTGAATGTGTTGAGCTTGACTCTTCCACCTAGAGGTGTCAAGATGGCCAGTTGAGCTTTGGGTCTTAGGCTCATAGGAAAGTGAATGGGAAAGGCATGCAGCGGGCTCTGAGATGCCTGCTGTTCACTGTCCATAGTCCGGGGCTAGGCCACCAGTCAGCACTGTGGGCCTTAGTTAACTAAAGTAGAAAGCTGCTCCCCGGGCCCCAGCAAGCCATGTGGTCACCTGCCCTGTAAGGCCCTCCAGGTTTGTGGCATCCCTCGGTGGAAGGAAGGCTGGAGTCATTTCTGGCACTCCCCAGGCTCCTCCTGTAAATGACCTTCTGATATACAGCTGCCCCAATCCTGACCTGGCCTTGGGAGGAGCAGAGAGCAGATAGTCTAAAACCATCAGTGTCAGGCCGACCTGTGCTGCCTCCCTATGAACCCGCCTGTGCCCAGGGTAGGGGTCAAGGAGAGGGAGAGGCAGGTTCTCCAATCACCTGTGCCAACATCACAGTTGTTTTTCCTGTTCTTATCTCCAGCTTGTTTCACGAGTTTTCTCTGGGCAAATAGAATTCTAAGTTTACCAGTGGATATTAAAACAATGAATTTTCTTCCCGAATGGAGACAAGCGAAATGGCTGCAGTTTTCCAGAGTCTAATTACCAGGAGTAGTTAAAGTGGCCAAAACTTGGTAAGTGGGCGTCCCGGTGACATGGGTGTTCTTACATATTTCAATGTCTATTTTTAAAAAAAGGGCATCTAGGCTCCATTAGTGTCAAGAGATGCTCCTGGAAGCCACTTTATTTTACATCATTAAAGTCAATCTGAGTTTCCAAACAAAGAAGAGGTTAAATGAATCGGACCTGCCAAGTCCAGGTAGCCCTGGAACCCTTGCCCAGTAATTGCTTCATTGTTCTTTCTCATTAAATTGAAGGTCAAAGGAATCCTATGGCAACTTGCTTTTGGGGAGAGAAATCTTTCCAGCGGTCCCTGGAGACTGTGGAGGGGCCTAGGAGCCCACTGCAGGGGCATCTGGGCACAGACACGGGCCATGGGTTGGCTTTATGCTTTCATGACCTTAATTCAGGTCTTCCCGGGCAGAGTCTTTCTACTTTCTTGTGCTTGTAAAGAATGTACCTATACAAGGGGCTGGGGGTCTAGCTCAATGGTAGAACATTTGCCTAGCATGTGTGAGACACTGGATTCAATCCTCAGCACCACACAAATAAACAAATAAACAAAAAAATAAATAAAGGTATTGTGTCCATCTACAACTAAAATATTAATAAAAAATAACGTTCAAATATGAAACCTGGGCAGGCTGGAGTAATCTGAAACAGAGCCAGAGTGCTTGTCTATGTTACTCTGAAATATTTAGATGGAAAGTAGAGGAAATATAGATGAATGTTGTATTTGTCATTATGGAAAATTAAACATCTGGCCTGTTAATTAATTTTTAAGAAGTTTTAATCCAGCTATTTTTGGCAAGGCAAAGGCACAGCTTGAGAAATTCCTATTTATTATAATTTCGTGACTGCTTCATTCAGGGGTGATATTCAATTTGAACATTGGGTTCAGCATGTATGCCAGCCCCAAACAGCCAATATAAATTCATGGTGTGTGTTGGCTAGAGGACAGCCCCAATGATTCTGTTCCCTCTTCAGGAGAAGGAAGAAGAGGGGACATTGAGGCAGTACTTTCAGAGAATGTCCCTTGTGGTAGTGTCTTTCTGTAAAAGGGGAGATGAGATGATGCTGGGGATAAGCTGTGTTGGGAGGATCTGGCATCCGCCGTGAATCAGTCCCTGGGGGCTGATGCCTGCCTGGCTGCCCACCCCCAGGACAGGCCTGTTGCTACTCGACGTCCTCTAGATACTGAAGCAGCAGAACAGAGATGCCAAGGACTTGGAATCTGAAGATGAATAATCCGTGATATTAAAAATGACAGTCCAAATTGGTTCCAAATACAAGGATGTTTTCGTAATGGTGCTGGTGCTGATTGTCTCACACAGCTTCATGCTTCACATATTTTCCAGCCAAATAAAGAGGCCTAATAGCCATCAAACTCTTGTCCAGTATAATTACCATAAATCATTATAAATGGGCTCTAATATTGCTAGAAACATAGATGCATAGCCATGGTCACCGGGAACTCGTGCCAAAAGATTGTTTCACTGAGGGAATGTGATATCTCATCACCTGCACAGCCTGCACTTTGCTCAGGCTGAAGGAAATCTCCCCAAGCCATCCTACCTGCCACGGAGCATAGGAAAGAACTGGAGTGCAATAGCATTCTAGGAGAAAAAATCAGTGGGAGATACTTATCTCAGCAAGCACTGTGTGAGCAATAGTAGTAAAGGTTAAGAGCTAATATTTATTGAGCACTTATTATGTGCCAGGCTTGTTTCAGGTACTTTACAGTGACTACCTTATAAAGTATGTTTGGTTGTTTTACTGATGAGGAAAACTGAAACAGGGAGAGGCTGCAGAACTGACTCAATATTATACAGCACAGGTGGACTGTAAAGATTTGGGAATTTTCATCTTGAAATCCATGTTTTATATCAATGACTGATTCTTTCTAGGTGTCTTAGGAGAAGGAGACTCAGCTTCTGCTCTTAAAGGAAGGGTTAGAGTGATTAACTTGGAGAAAAACACTCCACGTTCTGGGTGTGTCCTGTAGACATCAGTTTGAAGATAATGGAGAAGGGCCTTTAGTGGTTGGACAGATGGAAAAGGCTGGGGAAGGGACATCTGAGCAGACCCTTGGGAAACAGGTAAGTTTGTCCTTGTTTCCCAAGGCTCTGTTCCCCCAGATGATATGGTTGTAAGTTCCAGGTAAGTTTGCATTACTGCTGTCTTCTCTGGCCACAAGCTGGATTTATACCAGACCTTCTGGTCTTCCCCAACCTCTCTGGAAACCTACTCACCCAGCCTCTCCCTACCTTGCTCCCCACCATGGCCACATGGGCCTCCTGATGGCCCTTACTCCACTCAGCCACGGTCACCAGATTTAGCAAATAAAAATAGAGGATGTTGATTAAATTCAAATTTCAGTTAAACAATGAAAAAAAAATCAGTATAAGTAGGTACCATGCAATATTTGGGACATACCTAGACTAAAAAAGATTACTTGTTGTCTAACTGATATTCAGATTTAGCTAGGTTGTTCTGTATTTCATCTGGCAACCCAGTACTCAGCCCTCAGCACACCCAGGGCTCTCCCAGTGAGGCTCTTTCTGGTTTGTCTGAAATTCCTTTGTGCATTCTTCAGAAATGGCCTGAGCACCCACCATGAAAAGGCTCTGGGTTCTCTTCCAGTCTCGGGAAGCCCCCTCTGTTCAGTAGGAGAGAGGGGACACACCCCTTAGCAACACTGGTGCAAACAGAGAAACATCAAGTACTGTCAAGAGTTGATGGAAACTGGGGTGAAAAGTTGCAGGACAAGTGGCTTGGAGGGGGACCTTGAGGGAAGGTAGCACCTGGGGGTCAGGGACAGCAAAGGATGCTATGGGGCTGGGCTCAGGTGAGTGGTGGGCCTCTGCCGCAAAGACTGCGGAAACAGCTTCCCTGAGCATGGTTCCAGGAAAAGGGTTCCCAAGCAGAAACAAACAGTCCCCAACTCTGGCCACCAGAGGGCGCGCTGGTTTGTGAAATGATTTTCCTCCATTACCGGGAGGAAAACAAGACTGTTCTTGCTGGACGGAGATTCCATTAGAATCCGGTCAAAGAGGAGAGAAAATCTTGGGTGCAGCCCCTCCTCTCTGACAGCTGAGAGTTTTTATGAAACCCCATAAGAACAAGGACGGCTCCTTTTTGGATCACAGGTGTCTTCCCAACATCTACCGAAAGACCCTATACTTGAAGGGTGCTCAGTAAGTAAGGACAGAGAAGAAGGGAGGAAGAAGGAGCATCCAACCCAAGGCTCAATAAACACTAATTGAATGCATGGCCCCCCAGGAAGGGAAAGCACTTAGAGCCCTTTCCTTCCAGACATTTGTTATATTGATGCATGGTTGGTCCAGAGTAAAACCTGGGAAAGGAAGTGTTTGGAGGAGCGGGAAGTAAGGGTGATCCTTCAGAAAGAGAGTGAGATGGTGAATGTGGTCAGGAGGAGTGGTACATTGGTTCCCAACTGTATCCTGTGACTTTGGAGAGATTGTATAACTTTTTTGAGCCTCCCTCTCTACATCTTTAATGTGGAAGTGCATTTTCAACTTCAAGGGACAAATGAAAAAAATAGGCGTGATCCTGTGATGGTGCACTGTAAACTGGGAAGTGTGTGTGAAACAATGAGCTATTGTCAGTGTCATTGTCACTCTTTTTCCTCCCCTTAAACAAATCAGGGGAGTGAATATGTTGAATGAATAAAAGAAAGAAAGGACAGAAAGAAGGCAGAGAGGGAGGGAGGAAAGAAGACCACACTCATGTGATCTGCCTTCCTCCTCTCTCCTCTCCCCTTGGTAAGCTTTCTAAAGACCTCCCAGGACTTGCATTCTCCTATTTTTCAACCAAGAAGTATCATTCATTATTTGACAAGTGTTTGCTGAGTCCATTTTTGCCCTCCCAGGAATGTATTTTCTAGTGGGGCCACTGCCCTGGACACTTCCGAATTCCCACACGTGTCTACACTGCTGTAGGGTTGACAAAAGCATTTTTATGGCAGTATTCTAATTTGTCCTCTAGGTGGCCTTGGGCAGGGGCAGAGACAGGATTAATTTAACTCTTCTCCATTTTAGAGACAGAAAGTGTTCAGAGACGTCAAGTTTTTGCTCAAGGTGACTTAGTAATGAGGGGTCATAACAGTCTCTTTACAAAAGGTTCATGTAAGGATTTGAAAAACATAACTGGAAGAAGTGATCTTGTCTGTCAAATAAATGAGCAAACTGTGGGAAAAAAATCCATGCTCTTCAGTGGAGTGAGAAAAAAAAAAAAAAGTCACCCAATGCACCCTGACCATAGAGGGCCATGAAGCTATTTTTGTGTCTGGTTCTTGATTTTCAGTGCTGGGGATCAAACCCAGGGCCTCACATATGCTGAGCAACACTACCATGAGCCACACCCCCAAGCCCAGCTTGTTCAGGTTTTGAGACATCATGGCACCCTCTATGCATTGGGTCCTCTGCCAAACTTTTGACATACTTTCTCACGTAATCTGCACAATGAGGTAAGTACTCGGGAAGGTTCCATGACCTTCACACAGCTGGGCAGTGTGCTGGTGGGCTCTGAGCCTGAGTCTCTCTAACTGCAGGCCTGTTCAGCACACACAGGTGATGGAGAATGTTTGTGGGAAGGCTGAATGGATTCTCATTCTGCCAAGTCGTCTTACACTGATGTGGTTCTCTTCTCCAAGAAATCTTCTTCCTAATGTGGCAGCTCCCTCTGCACTGAGCTGGCAAAAGAAAGGCTCCTGAAGGCATGTTGAGTAAATGAGTGAGAAAAGGAAGTTTCTGTATGTGTTAAAAAAAACAAAACTTCATATGTGCTCATATTTTTGCCTATGTACAAGAATAGTTCTGAGAAGGTACTAACCAATTTTCAGTGGTCATCTTTGTGGGGAGTGGTGACAGGTTGAGGGAAAACTTCTAACATAATTCTACAATCTTGGCTGTTGTCTGAATTTCCTGTAATAAACCTTTAAGAACAGAGGAAATGCATTGTTGATCATAGTGAAAACTTAAAAGCCACCCAA